GGCTCTTCGATGAAACCCACTTTTTTGGGTGTTTTTGCATGGTCTCCCCCTTATAATATATGACATTATAGACTGGGGTACCTTGAGATTTTGCTTGTTTTTAAAGCGTGTCGTAACTGAAAAAAGGTTGAGAAACCCTGCATTAGTCACAAAAGAATGTTTAATGCATCTGGGATTCCATTCAATTAGCCAGTCTGCATAACATTTCTAAGGGTCTTCAGACTAAATTATCACAGATCAACGATGGCAAAATCAAATGTTCCGATGGAAGATTTCGAACAAATGTATACATTTTAACATTGTATGGTCCAGTTGAATTATACTTTTTATAGTTAAGTGACATTTAAAGTTATTTTAACCCCCCACTCAATGCTGGTGTAAGGACTTGCCTTAAATGATGCCTCTTGATCCAATCATCTTTTTTCCAGTAGTTTTCAGTAGTCCCTCCAGCGCTGGTGCCAGTCTCTGATCAAGCGCGGACCGCTGTGTCTTCTGTGTCCCACGGAGTCTGTGCGGGTGCAAGCTTCTGGGCTGCCTGCATTGACTTACTCTGCGTCTCTCCTCTTCTCTTGGCCGAAGATCCAGAGCATGCGCCAGCCCCATGATCCTTTACGGCCCCTCTTCCGAATCTTCGGATCTTTGGACAGGAGTGCGCGGCGAAGACGCAGGTAAGTAATAACTTGGTTTGTTTTTGCTTTCTTTTTGGGAGGGTCACAGGTCGCCAATGTTCCTTAAAAACAACATCTGGCTACTAACTGTTTGAGGTTTTCTCTTGTTTTCAATGGAGCTGGCTCCTGAATTGAACAGACCTGGTTCCCGATTTGCATATTAATTTCCACCCCTACATATTTACTTATGTATCACACTGTGCTTCCTGCTCAGTAGCGCAGAACAGCAATAGTGCTTTACCGTTACGCTATCCCAGTACTGCCATTTTAGGAGGCGTATTATAAAATAGTTTTATCTCAGCAGATGTTCGGCAAGAGTGGCAGCTCCATTAATCTGACATACGGATAGAGAATCTAGTGTCCAGAAAAAATTATGAGCAAGCAAAGAACAATGTGAAAGCAGTGGCGTCACAAGGGGGGGGGAGGGGGGGTGAGTCGTTTTGATGTCACCCCTTCTAAAAAAATTAAAGCACTCAATCATGGACCGAGAGCCCGGCAGCTGCATGAGAGAGGAGGGGACCTGGCAGCATACCTTATCCTACTGGATGAAGTCCCCTCCTCTCTTTGCTGGCCACCGGCAACGAAGTGCACGTGACGTTATTACATGTGTAATGACGTCATGTGCATACGCATTAAAGTGTGGACCGCGTGACAAACACACCACAACTGCGGAAAAAGCAGGGGAGCTTGGACCAGTAACAGCATTAACAACAGTCCAAGTAACAGAATTAGGCTGCCAAGGCACTTCACCTATAGTCACATGCGGTGAGAAGAGTCCTCAACCTTGTGGAAGTCTCAACATGCAGTTTACCCAAGGATGAAGATTCTTATCATCCCACATGGCTAAACAGTGTGGCAGGGAAATTAAGGAAAGATTATGTACAGCTGGTGGGGCCAGTATTAAGGTACCCATACCCCTTACAACCATCGCAAAAATTTAGTCTTGCGATGGTTGTAAGGTAATTTTTTTTAAAAACGTACGATCTGCCCATCGTGCGGCATTTATCTCCCAAGAACGCCACTAACCCGCCGACAAATCGTACGTACATTACATTCAAACTAAGGCTGGCATGACCTAAGAGGGCGTCTGGACATACAAGCAGGCTCTGACCACTCTAATGTATTAACGATTAAGGTACTGGAACTAGTATACTTGCAAACAATATATGGATATACTGGGGCTGTTGCTAGTTATGCAAGACTATAAAAATAATACATCAGAAAGTAATTTAACAGCATTCTCTTGAAGTATATATATACATATACACACACACACACACACACACACACACACACACACACACACACAGGTCAGGCAGCAATGTGAGGGCATGCCTTTAAAGTAAACCTGTCACAAGAGAAATACAGAAGATGCCATTGTGGACCACCACCTTCTGAAAATGCCATTTGCCGATTTGTTATGCAGACCCTCTGGCTTCAGTACTTTGGAGTTACTGACTCAGAACAAGTAGCAATAAAGTCCAGTCTAAGGACAGAGTAATCTATTGTTGTAGCCCAAACACAATCACAAATTCAGTATTGAGAAGGAGCTTTCCCGTGGCCAAGCACACATAGACCAACTTGGAACCTCCATGAAAGATACACAAAGCCAGAGGTTGATCCAAGTTGTTGGCATTTACCAAAACTGAATTATAGGTTTGGAATGCACTAACCCTTTAATATATAAAATTCCAAAAGGAAACCAAAATGCATAAGTGGTCATTGCTAACCTCCTGACATTGCCAATTGCCTGGCTACCTCCAAGTTAACACTTGGGAGTCAGTGGCCTAGCACACGCGTGTGCCTAGTAGTTCTGGTTAGGTGATTTGTACTACTGAAGTGGTTTGATTTGCTTAGTAACCAGTATTTTCACATAGGGGTCCGCAATGGCAGCCTCGTTCTGTCAGGAATTTGCAGCCACAGTGCTGAAAGCAAGTCTGTGCTAAGTATTCCCATAAAATCTGGGGAACATTTCTTTCACACGGCAAACAAATGATTTGTCACAGGAAGGCCACAGCCTGTCACACTGATTGCTAGTATTTACAGGAATACATTTCCCCTATCTCACTGTCTGGGCCTTTCAACATCTATGAGAACATATAAGGAAATTCCTTACTGGCTTGGGTCATGGTGATAACAGCTACATCCCTCTTTATGACGGTTTACAACACAAACGAAATATCCAGTACCATTAACAATCTTTGTTATCATCAGTTGGGATATGTGGTTCCAGGTTACCCTGACAGTAGCAATGAATTTACTGGGAGTTAGTAGATTAGGTTGGGGTATGAGAGGCTTTTCAAAGCAAAGCAGGGGATCTTCTAAATATGTGCATGGTATTCCCCATCCATTCATGAACTCACAATTTCTCAGTTGTACAGTTTTCCACACCTCAGGAGAATCAAATGTTTAATTATGTTTCTAGTTCTACCCACCAAAAATCAGATTCTGCTCACCACTATTCGCAAACCCCTACCACACTGCAGGAGGGTGACTTTAGCATACGCTACTGCAGGTCTATCTTCCTGCGTTTCCTCCATCCTACTCACAAGGGTTTAAAAACAGGCCAAGATAGGTTAAACCAAAAACACACGCTCAAAAGTAGCCCAAGACTTAAAAGGAATGGTTTCCAAAGGTTAAGGAGATAATCTAAAATGAGCAGTGGTAATTTAAGGTGAATAGGATTCTTTGTATAGCATATGGACTACCTAGCTCCATTTTACATCTACCGATGCCCATAAGGAACTCAACATGAAGGCAGGGCCTGTACGAAGCTTCATGAACAGATTTTAGGCTCATCCATTATATAGGCAGACAAGCTTTGCATGGTGGATTCTATGTCTTTGTTGGTTTGTTGATATTTTTGGATTTACAGGAGGAGAAGATTTGATGCAGTAAGGGGGTTACCCATCATGAAAGGGATAGGTTACATCTGGTAATGAAGCAGATAACATTGCTGTGAATGTACCATTTATTCCATAGCAGAACCTAGATGTATTACAGCAGGGGCGCCCACAATTTTTCTTCTGGAGATCTACTTTTCAAATGACGAGCTCAATGAGTTCTACCAACGAAAAAACACCTGCATTCAGGGGTGGGAGGGGGTGTGACAGTGCATTGAAGTCAATGGCACCGCAGCCACGCTCCCAGTGCAATCGCCCGCACCCGGAATACAGGAAGATTAGTGTTGCATGCACTATTTTTGCAGATCGCAGTTGGTTTTAATTAAAGCCAGTTTCCTAATCTGAACTGGCAGTACATTTTTTTGTAACCACCTGGAGCCACCATATGTGTGACCTAGACATCTGTAGAGCCACTCAATCACTTGTATGTTGATGAAAAGTGAGCCACCACACCCCATCCCCTACTGTCCCTCGTGCAGGCCTAAGACTGCCAAAGTGGGTGCCTGCAGCGTGACCAGAGGGAGATCACCACACCCAGTGGCTGAGCTTTCCTCTAGTTACTGAACCCAGAAGAGCTGAGGATTTCAACTCCAACTTCTGTAGCTTCAGTGGGATCCATAAGTGACATTATGGGTCTAATAAACCCCTGATGCCATAAAGAGGACCAGTCATTTTTATTATGCCATCACATAGGGGGCCCGTTAGCAGGTTTTCATGAGAAGTGCTTTAAAAGTCAAAATGTCTTTGGTGGAGAAAAAAAAAAAAAAAGAAGGGGCTTAGTTGTTATCAAACATAATCCTACTGTCTAAAAACGGTCTAGCAGTCTCAGTACTAGAGGCCCTCTCTGCACCCTGTCCCCAGGTCATTTAACATAAATCTATGGGTAAAAATGATATATGCCTTGTCGCATTCATTTTCAGTGTGTATTTCACAACCATTTATTTCCACAAAATACCTGTTGATCCTGCCAGATTGCATCAGAATTGTGAAGTGACAACATTGTCGCATGCCCTTTGAATGTTCATTCAGTGTGGTCACGTATAGACAGACGATCAATAATATTAATAATAATAAACTCTGTGTTCAAAAACTGTCAAAGAACTTGAGCAATTCCAAAACAGAAAAGGAACCCAGCACTGATCTACACAAAGCTTGAGGTGAGAGAGATGCCTCCACCCTGACCACAGCCCATCCCAACCCCACCACAAAACTGACAAGTAGCTCCTAGCCATTATTACACCCATCTGCTGAAGGAGAAAATATGGGGTTGTATGCTCTGCACACATAAACCGGCATCTTGAGGGCTGATAGCAAGATCTGTGATGCTACACCTATGCGCTCCTTGTTTCTGCCAAGCCGAACAAAAACACTGGGATAGGCTTTGATGGTGGAGAGTGGACACTTTATGTACAGTATGTATACTTTGAAGTAAAAAACATAAACCTTTCTCTCCAAGTAAAGGGTATCAAAGGGGCTGAAATAGAACAGTTTTGTTGCCAATGCCAGCTAACAAGTGACTGGTTCCCAATGGAGAAAAAAACCCCCACATACGCACTTTAAATTTCTTTTAGGTGAATGTAGGGACCCTTGAATCTGGGGCCACCTAAACTGGTGATAAGGGATGCTGCGTGTCAATCTTTCCTATTTTATCAAGGGTATTTAAAGTCGGGTGGCTGGAGTTGGGTTGTGCAGTTGGTTGGTTCTGCGTAGATAGAAGTTAAAAGGGGAACTCCACACATTCAAAAACACACTGACACAGCCAGAATGTGGGTACCTAGAGTGCGGGGCTGTGCACTCCCCTTTGGGGGGAGCGTTGAGACTGATCCCTGGTGTAAAATAAAAGGGAAGAGAACGTTTATTGGAAAAAGAATGTTATAGGGACGCCTAACTGAACTGTGCGAACGTAGGGGGTTCTTCTATTTGGTGTAATTTTGGAAGAAATTAAGTGTTGGACTGTGAAGCAACAGACACCATTCTCTCATGTTGGATTTTGTAAACTTTATTTTCTTTAAGTAAAACAGTAATGGCCTCCCTGTCTGGGCATTCGTTTCTTGGAGGACTTCTCTTAATGGAAGAACTTGTGTGAGGTGGAGACTAGACAAAAAAAGGTTAAAGAGTTTTGAGCTCTATAGTAGCACTGACTAATCTGGCTCTGCCAGGCTGAATCCTGCCCAATGTTCCCAAGGGGACACTTGTAGAGCAGATGATAATCTTGACATACACTGGATTCCTGCACAGGAGCCCCAGAGATGAACTCAACGCTGCTGTCAGGTCCTGGGATTAAAAGCTCCTTGAGTGACCTGATGGGACAGCCTGGTGTTCAGGGAGATCTCAGGCTGCCCTAAACTTGAGAAAGGGTGATCTGTGCCTCAAGGGGATAACTGACCTGCAGAAATCAACCCCATGTTACATACATGCAATAAAACGATGGCATAATATGGGCACTGTAACTAAGAGGACCTATTGCCTTCTGAATATGATTACATTATATAAAAACATACATATTTACAATTAACACACTATGCTTACTTTGTCACCTTGAAGTTACAAGGATAGCATACAACTAATGTTTACTAATAGGCCAATTATTCACTTACATGCATGGCTCTCCAATACTGCATGAGCATACATAAACCCAAGCAGCTTAAAATCATCAGAACAGATAATACATGCACCCACACACCTTCATACGCAAGAAATAAGTCAAGTGCCATTATATACGTCAGGTCACACTACAGTAGGACATTATTCCGGCCTCTCATACAGCATATACTCACTGACTCAATATTCTAAATCAGTGGTTCTGAACCTGTGTAACCTCAGGACCCACATTTGTCCTTGGTCAGTAAGTCGCGACCCAAGTCGTACTGCAATGGAATGCATGGCATTGCAGTACCGGGCATTCACATTCAGGCAATCAGACTGTGGGTGGGAGGTGCGTTTTGGGTGTCATTCACATTAATGGCAACGTACCTTCCACGACAGAATACACCGTAGGTGTGATTGCGTGGTACTGAGCAATAATCGCATAGGACTGTGGATTAACGCACTGTAGTAGTGTGAACGGACCCTCAAAAACACAACCACAGGCAATCTCTCACACACACTCAAATACTTGTTTTTTTTTTAAAAAGACCTACCGAGTCTCCGTATCTTATGAGAACGGGAGTGGATCCTCATCCTAGGGTCCAGTGTGGGCTGCTGCGAGGGAGCCCCATCCATACACGCATTGCTTACAACTCCCACATGTGCCTGCTAGGTAGAGGTGCCAGGAGCCAGAATGGGACATCAGTCTGGTCCAGGTACCTCTACAGGGCACATGTGGGAGTTGCAAGGAATGCAAGTATGGATGGATCTCCCTTGTGGCCATACTTCCATCCCACCTCAAGCTGACACGCAGGGCCAGGCAGCATATTTTGAATTGCTGCTCAGCACGAGAACTGATGTTGCTGCACTAGGGGGGAGGCTGGAGGAGTCTCCCACCAAGAAAAATGGAAGGCATGTGGCGACCCACTAAACATGGGGTTGTGACCTACTTTTTAGGTCACGACCGACCAGTTGAGAACCAAGGTTCTAAATGATCTGCAACCATCATATGTCATACATTGGCAGCAGCACATATATACACAAATTTTGTATACATTTTCCCAAGCCAACTGTCCGCTCTCTATCCCTGATCACTTCCACTTCCCCGCTTGACCCCCGCTATGTATCCTGGGCTCTGCAGCCCCTCCTAGGTGCCCAGGACATGCACTTAATTTTAGTGCACAAAACACACAATACCCTTTTATCAAATATAATGTGTGAGGCTGTGCCAAGCAAATAAATACACAACATGCCAAACTTTAAAAAAAAAAAATTGTGTGTCCCGGTAAATCGGCAACAAAATACAGTACCCCAAATTGTCCACAGGCAACGCTTTAAAAGCCTGTACAGGTCATCAGTTTAGAGATATCTATAAATATCGGTCCTAAAATTATTGCTCTTGCGCACATGGCGATACCCAAAATGTGTAGCACGGTCATAATTTTCATACATAGACACCCGGCACATGTGGGCGCAGGGGCCTTTAAAAATTGTACTTGTTTTATTAACTTTACTTTGCTGCCATCACATAGTTATGTAATAACATTTTAAAGGCCCCCGTTCATACCATGTACGGTGGCTGATGTTTTCCTGCACCAGACCACCACCCTTTACTGCTAGGGCACATAGAAAACAACTGTTCACACTACAACGCGGGTGTGATGTGCCATGGTAAAATGCAGACATACTGCAATTTTCCGTAACGCACTTGATGCCACCTCCTCATTGTAAAGCACTGGTGTGTGGAAACATGGATGGAGTATACACTTTGTACACTCCAAATAAAGTTAACTGGCCTGCGCGGTCATAAGGCAAGGTGCGGTGCAGAAAAATGCTGCACGTCGGCATTTCTTTGCACCACAACCCACCTCAAAGCGGTGATGCTGTGAACAGGGCAACAATTGTTTCTATGCACCCTTGCGGTGACTGGCATTGATTAAATGCTGAAAATCTCATGTCGTCACACATGGTGTACACAACCCTTTATTGATCACATTGCTAGGACATGACGCATGTAAAATCTGCTACATCACATATACAATGAAAACGATTCGTGATTTCCAGAAAATTGCTCTTTCCTCAAATAGCCGTTAGGGGATAATGCATTTCATGATCATTTAAAATGGACTGTTAGGGGGGACAGATGAAGTCAATCTGTCGATGTCCAGTTACAGTGTATGTATAACCAAAACTACTTTAAAAAAAATAGTTTTGAAGTAGTGAAGGGTTAAATCCCTTGTCCGTTACTTTTATAATGAAAATAGTTTTACAGGTTTTTGAACTTTATGGGTACAAAAGGTCAGACATGCCAGAAGTCTGAGATAAGCTTTCAATGTTATCTTCATTTATTAAAGCGGACCTTTACCCATTTCTTTAGAAATGTTTAGCAAGGACAAAACGCATACTTCTAGATAATTGCCGGCTTTGTATTCTTTGCATACCTTGTTTCGCTTTTCTTTTCCAGTCGTCTCACAGTGGCCATGTTTACTAAGGGCAGGGTACTAGGTCACCTAGTACTTCCTGAAAATCTGGCACATGTGACCACGCACATTATCTCGGGAGGAAAATGCCTTTCCAGATGAGATTTCCCAGCATGCTCTGCTGATGACAAGGCGATCCCAGTGTTCTTTGTGTTGAGAAAGAGAAAGTCTTTTTGCCCCCACCAATGCTAGTGTAAGGCCTTACCTTATGATGCCTCTTGATCCGATCATCTTAAAACTACAGAAACCAAGAAGGAGTCCCTCCATCGCTGACTCATCTGTGCTAGCTGGCACTTCCTGTCCCATGGAGTATGTGGGACAGGGGCACGCTGCCTACATTGACTTACCTTGCTTCTCTCCTCGTCTACTGTCCGAAGATCTGTACTGCTATGTTGTCCTAGACTGTTCACTTCTCCTGCCTTGTCCAAACTCTTCACCCTTTTGTGAATAACCATGTGTATGTGTTTGGCCAGCTTAGGTTGCAAGTATTTATGCGTATTTATGCATGCAGACACTGGGGATATTAAATGAAAGCTGAATGTTAAATTGATTGGGGGGTTAGAACCCCCCACCCATTCTAATGGGGGGGGGGGGCGCAAAAAAAAAACACAAAAAAAACAATATGGAGGTGTGTTTAGGGATTCCTGCATCAGGACCTTGTGATTTCCTGCAGCAGGAATCCCAAACCTGCCATTTACAAGTGTCAAGTTAATGATCAGATGACAGCAGATGCATTTGGAAGCGGCAGAACACTGGCACACTGGTTGTAATATGATATTATTACATGCGGTTAAATATTACTATCCCTGCATGCATTAATTGTGCGTCCAGGGATAGTGATTACATGTGGTACGACAACATTCTGTCCCTTTCAAATGTTGCCACTGTCACCCAATCATCATTAACTTGAAAGAGTGACAGCTGCTGTTTGTTAACAGCAGATATGGGATTTCTGCTGCAAGCAAATCTAAAGTTCCTGACGTAGGAATCCCTAAATACCCCTACATTGTAGGTGTGAATGAGGGCTGTGTGATGGGGTTGCGTTGGCAATGGTACAGCTAAGAGCAGCTAGAGTTAGAGGTTTTGGAGTACTTGCACCTGTATGAGGGTACGTTCACACTAGATGCAGTGCTTTCCGGTCCAAGTCTGGCCGGAACGCACTGCTTCGCATTGCGGCCGGCTCACTTTTTTGTGGGGCAGGAGGGGGCGTGTGGCGGGCCATTGAAGTGAATGGCACTGTAGCCACATCCTCCGGCCGCAATGCGATTGCCCGTACGGGATCACTGCGGCCCGGTATGATCAAAATGCTGCAAGCACTATTTTGATTGCATTGGACCACAGGCACGATGTGCCTTGCGACCCCATTGTGGCCAGAGGGCGTGGGTACGGTGCCATTCACTTCAATGGCCCGCCACGCCCCCTGCTGCCCCACAAAAAAAGTGAGCTGGCCGTAATGCGATGCAGTGCATTCCGGCCAGAATCAGACCAGAACGCACTGCATCTGGTGTGAACGTACCCCGAGAGCACTCCTGCCACTTCCAGCCAATTGGACTCTTTGCAGTCCAATTTATTTGAATGGACTTTTGAGCACAAGTGAGTATTACAGGAGGGTCTTGAGCTCCCTGATGAATGATTCATAGATTTGGACATCACAAAAACATGGGTTCAGCTGCCCTCTACTGTAACATGACTCTTTGGCACTGCAGACAAAGATAACCTAGGTGAGAAAGATTGTAGCTAGAGTCCCTAAGGGTCCATTAGGAGTAGTGTATTGCACACCATAAAGTAGTCCAATGCACAAATATAAATGGAAAAAGTTTAAAGAAAAAAAAAAAAAAAAGGGAAGGGAAAGCAAGGGGGGGGGGG